ATGTCGAGCCCCTGTCCTCACAAAGACAAACAACTTTCACGTTTACATTACAACACAAGAGAGAAGCCACACAACTATGGCTATAATGTTATGGCTATTATTGCATAACATATACTGGTATCGTCTCGTCAGCTAACTTCTATCCCCTATACTGTACTCCATATACTGTACAGTACATGGCTTTATAGCTTTGCTTATGGATAAGATATATTGTATATTTTAACGCCAAAAATATATTCTAATAATTTTTACTAAATGTTTGATTTCTTTTAAATTTAATAGAATATATTTTATAATCATAAATTATAATTCATAATGACCAATTAATGAGTATTAAGTTTTTTTTAATTTATTGCTAAACTATATTCTTTGATTAAATTCTAATATATTTAATATGTTTTTGATTCAATTGTAATGTAAATTCATATTAAACATAACAATATGTCAATTAATTAATTATATTTCCAAATCTAATCAAAACTAAATAAATGTAATCTCTATGTTCTTATCAGTCATTTTACTATTTGTAATCTTTTTATGATTTTGTATTTAATTTCCAATTAAAGAATTTAATGAAATATAAAAGAATTAAAAAATAACTGAAAATCACAAAATTGATCTAATCTTTCAATGAATGGCCTATTATTTGAACATCATTTCAATGCATTGTAAGAATTGAAAGCAATTGTGTTTGCGATGAAATATGGCAAAAGTAGCACAAACTATATGAACCATACATACAATGATAGCACTGCTCTCATAAGTGATTGTATAGGAGAGAAGAGTGTGAGGACTGGACTGACTCGCCGTCACATCCATTCCCATCCCTTTTCTCTTCGCTATTGCTTTACAAAAATAATTTATTTATCATTTCATTACAGAATACAATGGCTTTTAATTCAACGATTCAATGATAGCACACATCGATTTCATTAATGCTTACATTTCATTGTCTCGGAAATCAATTTCCGAAAATAGTTTTAATTAGTCTTTATATTAATGAATATTGCTTTCGGTCTTAAACCACACCTTCTCTGAGATATCGCTTTCAAATTTAATTCATTTAAATCTTATCTGCTTTTCATTAACACCAATACTCAGCTATATATCCCTTATTTCATTCATAATTAGCTAATTGTCGACAAAAATTTCAGGGAATATATATTATAGTGAAATGTGAAAACATTTGCAAAATAAAAGAAATATTGAATGCATTGAAGAGATAGGGATAGGAATAGAGAGAGAAATAAGTTGTTAAACAAATACACCAAATATTTGGCTTATATTTGGTGTGTCTAATGATTTGATGCTTTAATTGAAATGCCATCAAATCTATTGATTAGCATTTTGTATGAAAACATAACTCAATTAACACAATATTTAAGAGCAAAAGCAATCGTGAAATAAAAACAGCGATAAATGATATGAAAAAACAAAATATATTTTTTGCAAATTTCAATTCACGCGTTAGGCGTTAGCGAGAGTAGAGCGTAGGGCGGAGTAAGTGAGCGATGGCTGAGTAGTGTTGGAGCGGTGTATTAGAGCAGTTCGAGCCTACAGTCGCCACACGCTATGCGATACACATTGTGGTGAAGGCAGACATAGAGAGTGCTGTACTGTCTGTACTGTTGAGACAAATACGACATTATATGCGAGTATTTGTTGAGTGAAAGCAAAACCATTTGTCAGTCAATTGATTGCCATTTATTTCGTTTAAACCATATTTCAGTTCACAATCGTTGCCATCGATTGTCACTTAAAAGTACCGCTCATTTCATCCCTGAAGACAATATGAGTGACGAACGGCTCGAGAGGGAGAGGAATAAGAAGATGAGAGTCAGTGCCGACACTTCGGGCCCGTCCTCTGCGGCCAACTCTTCGCCGCAGACGAGCGCCGGTACGAGCGGTTCCAACAACGGATCCAACACTACCCCCAACTCCACCCCCAATAGGCATGTCGTCAGACACACCAACAACAGCAACAACAACAACAACACCACTCCTAATGCCATCACTAATACCACTGATAGACAAAACGGTGACACAAGAGATGCCAATAAAGACATTAAAATGAATCCCAAAATGTCTAAAGCTTTGAGTACAAGCGCTAAGAGGTATGTCTCGAGTCTTATATACCATTTGTCCACTCGATGTCTAACTCATTGATGGTTTGCTTCAGGATTCAGAAAGAGTTGGCGGAAATCACTTTAGACCCGCCGCCCAATTGCAGGTATTGTAGACATTGTAGACACGGATTACTAGTTTTGTTATGCATTTGATGTGTAATTACAAGAAATGATTGCATTGTTTAGCGCCGGACCCAAAGGTGATAATCTATACGAATGGGTTTCTACTGTAAGTGCAATACTCTTATAACGATGACAATAATTACTTATAATTACAACAATTGTTTGAATGGTGTGACCAGATATTGGGTCCTCCGGGGTCTGTCTATGAGGGCGGCGTCTTCTTCCTCGACATTCACTTCTCACCCGAATATCCCTTTAAACCGCCGAAGGTATCAATCAATGCATGTTTTGTGCGCAACGCATGGCTTAACTAAACTAATTGATAATTAGGTGACATTTCGGACCCGTATATACCACTGCAATATCAACAGTCAGGGCGTCATATGTCTGGACATACTTAAGGACAATTGGAGTCCAGCGCTCACTATATCTAAAGTATTGCTCTCTATTTGTTCGCTACTGACTGACTGTAATCCAGGTCTGTATTGAGTGATGATTTAGAAATCAATATTTGCTAAACCGGTATATCTGTCGGTCATAATAGCGGATCCATTAGTTGGAAGTATTGCCACACAATTCCTTCAGCACCGGGAAGAACACGACCGCATCGCGCGCTTATGGACCAAACGTTACGCCACATAATAATACAATTTATATTAGTCTTGATTTATAAATATATTGATTATTGGATTTCATTTTATTTTGATTTGATTTGACATTTCATTGTGAAGTCTTGTAATAACCGCAACGAATGAAATGATTTATAGCGAATAATCCACTCATCGATTGGTTATGTTTTTATAATTAATTTATAAAACAAATTGTTGTCAATCAGCGAAACAGTTGAGTGATTGTAATAGTCATACAAATCATGTCATTCACTATAAATTAATAAATTTACACAAATTCTTGTATATCTTTCTCTGTATTACTCTCTCTCTAAAACTCGACTATAATTTAATGAAATTTCTTCTTTATAACACTTATTTTGAGATTTTCTAAAGTTTTTGTTAACAAATGTTTCCACAAAAGTGTGCCTATTTTTGTGTATATCTTTTTGCATCAAATGTTTTCCCATTTTATTACATATCTTTTCATCACTAATAAAGACAATTCATATGATTAAAGCTCTTATTTCAATGACACGTATTAATTGCTTTTAAAGACATTTAAAGCATATTT